AAAAGGAGGTAAAGAATTTTGACAGAGAGAATTAGGAAACCCTGAGAAAAGAAATAGCAGAAGACATTAACAAATGGAAGAACATACCATGTTCTTGGCCTGGAAGAATAGGAAGAATCAACATTGTTAAAATGTCTATACTACCCAAAGCCATCTACAGATTAAATGCAACTTCTATTGAAACACCAACATCATACTTTGAAGAACTTGAAAAAATAGTTCTTCTTTCTGTATGGAGCCAGAAAAAAACCCATATAGCCAAAGCAATTCTTGGCAATAAAACCAAATCTGGAGGCATCACTTTACTTGATTTCAGATTATAGTACAAGTCCACAGTGATAAAAAAAAAACAGCATGGTATTGGCACAAAATCAAGACATACATCTATGGAACAGACTAGAAAACCTAGAGATGAAACCAGCCTCATACCACTGGCTAATCTTCGACAAACCAAATAAGAGCAAACGCTGGGAAAAAGAATTCCTGTTCAACAAATGGTGCTAAGAGTGGGGTATCCACATGTAAAACACTGAAACTGGGCCTGCATCTCTCACCACTAACAGCAATTGACTCATGTTGGATAAAAGACTTACATCTAAGATACAAAATAATAAAACCCCTAGAAGAAAGTATGGAAAAAACTCTTGATGATATCAACCTGGGGAAAGATTTTATGAAGAAGATTCCATTGGCAATGACAACAATAAAAATAAATAAATGGGACCTGGTAAGCTAAAAAGCTTCTGCACAGCTAAGGATGCAACAATCAAAGCAAACAGATAACCTTAAGAATGGGAAAAGATATTTGCATGTTACCAATCTGACAAAGGGTTCATGAACAGTTTGTACAAAGAACTCAAATTAATCAACAAAAAAGAGCAAACAATCCCATTTATCACGGGGCAAAAGTTGTAAATAGAACCTTCTCTGTGGTAGACAGACAAATGGCAGACAAACATTTAAAAAAGCTCATCGTCCCTATCAGAGAAATGCAAGTCAAAACCATCTTGAGATATCACCTAACCCCAGGGAAAATTGCCCACATCACAAAGTCTCAAAGCTGTAGATCCTGGTATGGATGTAGAGAGAAGGGAACATTTTTTACTGTTGGTGGGATTGCAAACTAACACAGCCTTTTTGGAAACAAGTACGGAGAATCTTCAAAGAGCTAAAAGTAGACCTTCCGTTTAATCCCATACATTCATTACTATGTATCCACCTAGAAAAAAAAAATCACTTTACCATAAGGACTGTGCACTAGAATGTTTATCACAGCTCAATTCACAATTTCAAGATGTAGAATCAACCCAACTGTCCATCAACACATGAATGGATTAATACGCTGTGGTATATGCATACCATGGAATACTATTCAGCCATGAAAAATATGGAGACTTTACGTCTTTTTCATTAACCTGGCTGGAGATGAACAACATTCTACTTAGTAGAATACCACAGGAATGGAAAAGCAAGTATCCAGTGTTACTCAAAACTAACATGCAACCCAGTAGATGAATAAATACACACACACACAACAGAAAAACAGAATTAAATTCAGTGGCGGGGATGGGAGAAGAAAGAGGGATTGGTGTGTTCAGGAGGGGCACATGAAAATTTGGCACACCTCCTGGATGAGCTCCATAACTACAACTTGTACCCTACCTAATAAATGCAAACAATGTAACCCAATCATCTGTACCCTCATGTTAATCTGAATTTTTTTTAAGTACTTAACAAAGGTTACTGGCAAGGATGACTTTCTCATAGATCTTTCTAATATTCAGTGTTAAGAGTCTATATGTTTTCTTTAACTTTTGTTTTCTATTATTTTAAATTAGAAATTTAATGGAAGGACCACATCTAGACACTTATACCATGTTTCCCCCAAAATAAGACATTGTCTTATGTTTATTTTTTCTCAAGAAGACACACTAGGGCTTATTTTCAGGGGATGTCTTCATCTCCACGCCAAAATGCATGGCGTGGCTATGCAGCATATATGCATCACTAGGTCTTATTATCAGGGTAGGGCATATATTTAACAAAGGCATAGAAATCCTGCTAGGGCTTATTTTTTGGATAGGTCTTATTTTGGGGGAAACATGGTATTTCAAGCATGAGAATATTTATGAAAGGTCAAATAGTAAAACCTGCACCTGAACTTATTTCTCAGATAATTGTTCTTATTTTTTGTTCCCCCTACTTCCCAATTATGGGACATTGCTGGGGAGAGAGGATTTGAAATAATTTAAATTACAGTCTCTTCTTTGGACTAATACATTAGAAATGTGCTGATAAACATTAAAGTGCGTATACACCAAGATTTTAAAATAAGCAAAGCTGTCTCATGCAGCTTTTTCCACTTAGTCTTAAACACATGCTTTGTGCAGGACACTGTGTCCTCATTTCACCTTGCCGTGCCATTCCAACCCTCTTGTGTTACACTCATTAGTATTTCTTTAAAGCCACTTTCAAGTCAGGCAGCTTTCCGCGTTTATAAAGGCCTTGAAATGCAGTTAACCTGGGCAAATCAAATGCTATAGTAAATGTGGCCTCCATAATAAGAAATTCCATTAAACCATTTTAAAGAGATAATAATAATGTGGATTATTGTCAAGAGAATAATGATTCTTTTTACCGCTCAGTCACACTGAGGGTTTGAAACTATGGAGATGTCTGGGCCTTGTCACTTGCACCTGGATTCTTAAACAACTTGAACTCTTTTACCCCATCATGACAGTGCTAGTGATCAGCTTCCACGGAAAGATAGTTTTCATATTTCAACAGAGGAGCTGAACAATTTCAGGAGGGGCACATGAACAAAATTTAGAGTGCAAGATTGGAAAGCAAACCAGTAATGACGGTGGAACTAACAAATAGCACTAAGTTCAAAATGTTTATTTATTGTAATCAATAACTATTAAGCTGAATGCATTTTTGTGAGAGTTCCCCGATTGTGTTCTGCAGAACACTGGCCCCATGTACATTAACAGGGATCTGTTAGTTTGAGTAAGATTGCATGCCCTTGGAGACTCAGCACACTAGCATATTAAACGCTCTTGGAAATCCTATAGTAAAGAGATCTATTTAACTGTGTTTGATCCCCTGAATCTCAAACTTATTTAGCCATAAAACTCTAAACTCTTCTTCTAAATTTATTAAAAGCTTTTGGAAATGTATTAAAAGCTTTTCATATGTTAATGTAGGAGATACTTTCAGATCCACAGTCTCATGTGACCTGTGGAAGTTCTGGCCTTCAGATGCACTTGCTCTGAGCAGGGTGCTGCTTCTGAGGTTGAGTTTGAGGCTGGGGAAACTGATCAAGGGTGGATGAGAGCAGTGTGGTCAACGAGGCTAGAAAGAGTCTCAGAGGAGAAGAAATAAAGTCTTTGTCCTAGTCCCAGAAACCGTCTATCCAACACCCAGGATGGTAAGTTAGGAGACCCATCCAGCTGAAGGCTGGAGGCAGGACAGTAGGTGTGAGAAATCCCACTGCCCGGGTGGGAGCGTGATTCAGTGCTGCTGTTTCACCACTTCCTGGGCATGCCCAAGATCTGTTGCTCTCCCTTCCTCATCCCTGCTGTGTTCTTCCTCTGAAACACCTCTCAGGATGCTAGTCATTTGTTCTGAGAACATGTCAGGCACCATAAATCAAGAGATAAGAAACATATTTCCTGCCCTCAAGGAGCTTCATGTGTGCTAAGGTCTAAAAATAAACAGGCATTTATGATGTAGTGCAATAGGAGATGACACTATAGGCACAGACTGAGAGAGCTGGTTCTTCAGAATTAGTGTATGCTGGCCGGGTTGGTGGCTCACGCCTATGATCCTAGCACTCTGAGGTGGGGGGATCACTTGAGGCTTGGAGTTGGAGACCAGCCTAAACAACAATGAGACCCCCTCTCTTCTAAAAATAGAAAAATTATAGCTGGACATTGTGATGGGCACCTGTAGTCTCCACTACTTGGGAGGGTGAGGCAAGAGGATCACTTGAGAATGAGAGTTTGAAGTTGCTGTGAGCTATGATGCCAGGGCCCTCTACCCATGGTGACATAGTGAGACAGAGAGAGAGGGGGAGGGAGGGAGGGAGAGAAGAAGAGGGAGAGGGAGGGAG